ATCACCGGCTTCATTATCTCTGTAGAATAACTTCCTTGTTTGATTTCCATGTTCTTAGGGGAAGAAGATAATGATCCTGTATTCATAATACATCCATTACTGTAATCTAGATTTACGTAATGGATGATTTCAGGGAATTTGCTTTTGGTTTTTGCCTATGTAAATAACACTGCAGTTCAGAGGTCATAGATGCTTCCAGGTTTCTACATTTTCCTTCCCAGTTGATATCTTTTGTAAAGATATGCTTGGAGAACAAATAGAACTGAAAAGATGTCCCTTCTGTTCATTGCCTCACGTGGACAATAATATGGCCTTATTGTTAGGAGAAGCCAAAGGACACTTGATGCTTGTGAAAAGAGAAATCTTCTGGATTAGGAGTCAGCAAACTTTTCCCCCTGAAGGATCGGGTAGTAAACATTCTAGGCTTTGCAGGCTATGGAAGTCTCTGTGTCCACTACTCAATGCTGTCATGGCAGTGCAAACAGTCATAAGTGGTATGTAAATGGATGTGCTAGGCTGTGTTCTAGTACAACTTAATTTACAAAAACAGGTAGTGGGATGAATTTGAACTATGGGCCATTGTTTGCTGACCCCTGACCTAGAGCAAGAATTTTTTGGATCTCATCTCTATGGACATCTTGACCTGGACAGTTCTTTATTGTGGAAAGGCTGTCTTGTGTATTGTAGGATGTTTAGCCTCATCCCTGGCCTCTACCCATTTGATGCAGGTAGCACCTCCATCCCCACTTGTGATGACGAAAAATGTCCCCACACATTGCCAGATGTCCCCTGGGGGCTGAAATCGCTGCCAGGTGAAATAATAAAGATGTAATAGAAAACATTTTCCCCAAATGACAAAAGTAGGGTAAGATAAAAGACTGGAAAGCCATGACATCTTATTGTCTCAGCTAGGTCGAGGTCTCCTCAAAGGGACCATTGTTGTTGTTAGATGCTGCGAGTTGATTCCGACTCCTGGTAACACCATGTGAAAGTGTAGAACTGACCGATAGGGTTTTCTTGGTCGTATCATTACAGAAGCAGATTTCCAGGTCTTTCCCCTGTGGAGATGTTGGGTGGATTCAAACCACCAACCTCTTGGTTAGTAGCTGAGTGATTAAGCATTGTGTCACCAGGTCTCCTTAAGGAGCCATTACCACTGCCTAAATTTAGAAAGCATTTCAAAAACTAACTGAAACGGCAGTACACTTGGAAAGTGCCCTGTGAATAATTCAGATGTGAGCTTAGCCTACTGTTGGGGTGGGTACAAAAAAAACAGTGCAATGCATTAGAACGTGCTAATGGTACTTTTCTGTATTTGGCCGTGAGCAGGAAAGACCGGAGAAAATCTAACAGTTCTAGTCCTTGCTTGGGCAAAGGTTTATTTTTTCCTGCTTATCTGAACTCAGAACTAACCCAGGCAGGGTGAGTTTCGAAAACACTCACATGTTTCTCGTTGTTTGGACAGGGCCAGGCAAAAATGGCTCAGTTTCACTGTGTATTGGCAGTCACATGTGTTTTTGGAAGTTAAAAACAACATAACATTTTAAGGGAATTGCAAGGAATGTTGTCTTGTTCTTTAGAAGCAAACACCTGTTTTGCAAATAGGAAAGGAAGTGCTGTCTCTGTTGGGAAATCATCAGTTTCTTTTTCATTATTATTATTATTATTATATCTTTAATAATTAAAAATATATATATACAACTTAAAACATTATAATTCAAATAGTCATACTTTAAAATAAATTGAAAAACTCTTTCATTGGGAATGTCAGTTAGAGCCTCACTGGTGGTATAGTGGTAAAGCATTTGGCTGCTAACCAAAAGTTCAGCAGTTCAAACCCACTAGCTGCTCCCCGAGAGAAAGATGAGGCAGTCTGCTTCTGTAAAGATTTACAGTCTTGGAAACTGGCTTAGCAGTTCTGCTCTGTCCTATAGGGTGGCTGTGAGTTAGAATTCACTCAGTGGTAGTGGGTTTTAGTTAAATGTGTTTTTCTGGTTGACATGGAAGAAAAGGATGGTCCACATTCTTGAATAGACCTGTTAACCCCACACCATATTCTCTACTACTGTCACCATCTCCTATGGCCACAGCAGACGTGCTCAGTAATCCGATTCCCTGGGTCACTGGTCACTAGTACTGTTGACTCATCAACCCATTATCGTATCTATTCTAATTCATAGCAACCCTGTACGGCAGAGTGGAACTGCCCCAAAGGGTTTCTAAGCCTGCCATCTTTATGGAAACAGACTGCCACATCTTTCTTTCTCACTGTGGTTGGTGGATTTTAACTGCCAACCTTTTAGTTAGCAGTTGAGTGCATTAACCACTGTTAGCAGGACCCCTTCTTTCTTTATAACCATACCAAGATACACATTTCAGTTATACACCAAGATCCCATCTTTCTGTGCCATGCTTTCCGATTCATTTGGCTAAAGCACTCTACTGCTAGCCAAAAGGTTGAGAGTTCAAATGCACTTAGAGGAACTAGCTTCCAAAAGGTCACAGCTTTGAAAACCCTATTGAGCATTTCTACTCTGAACACAGGGGATCACCGTGAGTCGGAATCAATTCGACAGTAACAGTCAACCACGGCCTTCCTTGTAGGCCAGTCCAGTGGGAGTTTTGGAGAGGACTTGTCTCATAACAGGTCTTTCTGTCCCTCAGGTTACCACGGCCTCTACTGTGAGGAGGAGTATAATGAATGCCTCTCAGCCCCCTGTCTGAACGCCGCCACCTGCAGGGACCTTGTGAATGGCTACAAGTGTGTGTGCCTGCCAGAGTATAAAGGTGAGTGAGGGCCACTCGGACTCTTGAGCCAGAATGGCTTCAGATGACGTCATCCATTTCTCCATCTAAATGCATCCAACTCTTACTGGAGCGTGAACTTGTTTAGACTAAAATCCAGCATTGACGGGGGATGATTTATAAGGTCAAATGGAACAATTCGCCAGCCTCTGGTTTCCTGCTGAAGAACCGAGTTCTCTCTCCTGCTCTCTCCTTCTATCAGACGACTCTGCAGAATGTGTGAAAAGTATTATGAAGTGGGCTGCCTGGCACTGGTCAGATAAGCCTGGAAGAGGAAAGCAGGCTGCTCTGTGGCACTCGTGCTGCACAGATGTAACGCTATGTTTTTGGTTGAGGAGGCAGGTGTACTCTCACGAACTGGCAGATGAATTCATTCCCATTGAGTGAGTCAGTTGGGAGGGAGATGTTAGTTCACTTGAGTGGACATGTATCAATGTCACTCTGGAAAAACAACCGATGTTGATGGAGCATTCATACCGTGCCAGCCCTGCTCTAAGTCCTTAGGTGCATTGATTAATCCAGTAATCCTTGCAACATCCCCACGAGGTGGCTGGTAACATTATCCCTCTCGGACCCTGCCAGCATCCTGCCCAAAGCCCTTTCACTCTGTCTCTCCAATGGACTCTAGCCGTGATTTGTGGATGGGGTGACCTCACTTTAAGCCCAGGCGTCCTCAGACTGCCCCTTGCCAGGCTAGACTGTTTATCAGCTGTGGAGCACATTGTCACTAAGCTGTTCGCTTCAGGCCTGGGTTGAGATTTTGTCTGATGCTTCTGTGGGCTCCATTTATAACCATTTCACTTCACTGCTGGCTCCTCTCACTGCTTACGTGTCCTAACACCAGCCACTTTCCAAACACGCCCATTTGCCTGGTGAGCTTGTGATGCAAGCCCCATTGCTTCTCTTTGAATGGGCTCACCTTTGTTGAGGGATTTGCTGGTGAGTTTCAGGACTTGTCAGCCATACTGATGGATTTGCTCAGGCCCTTGAAGGGAATAGCTGCAGTCAGGCCAAGTCTTTGCTTTATGGTCAGAGGCTCTGATGCTTCTCTCTGAGTGTGTTGCCCATTTATAGCCAGACTCTCCCAACTTTTAGAAGTACATGTATGCTGATTTCACCCACGTGGCTTTCCAGTTCTAGGTTTACCAGAACATCGAGAAAACGGGGGCAGCTCCATTCTGGAAAGCAGCACAGAGGAGCAAGGACTCAGGAGGCTTAATTGGGCCTGTAGCTTCCTGTTGAGCCTGACTAAACCACTTAAACTGGCTGCCCTTCATTTTCTCTGTGAGGAAAGTGATGCTTATAGAGATTTTGAGATTCTTCATGACAGAGTGAGTACTGGTGAATGTGCTCAAACATCAAAAATTCCAGAATTGTTTTGTTTAGGATAGAATTTTAGGAAGTGAACGCCATGTTTATAAATGAAACAAATCATTAATCCAGTGTGTTCTCACGATGTCCCTTACTTTTCTGCCCTTGAACCTTTACTCGTGAGGATGTAGGTAAGAAATAAAAAAATACAATTGCATAAGATGGCCCACTCTCGTCTTCACAGATTCATAGATTCTCATCCTAGCGTTTTTTGTTTTTTTTTAACCTCCTTCTTCCATTCCTGTCAATGGATATTCTAAAATTTTGCCACAGTGCCCAAGCCTCATTCTGAACCACTCATAACTGGCTTTACCCCCAGTTTCATAGGGAAAAAGAGGTTATCATTTGTGAACTTGTTAAAATTTATCTAATTTCCCATACCCTATGGAAGTGGTTCTCAAACTTGACAGCATCAGAATCTGCTGCTGGGCTTGTGGAGACAGATTGCTGGGCCCATGCTAGAGTTTCTCATTCAGTAGGTTTTGGGTGAGGCCCAAGAGTTTAAAGGAGCTCTGGTAGTGTAGTGGGTAAGGCATTTGACTTGTAACCAGAAGGCTGGCTGTTCAAATCCACCAGCTGCTCTGCAAGAGAAAGATGAGGCAGTCTACTTCCATAGATTTACAGCCTTGGGAATCCAGTGGGGGTTGCTATGAGTTGGAATTGACTCAATGGCAGTGAGTTTGGTTTGGTTTTTTGGTTTCTCTGGTGATTGTCATATGCCAGCCTCTGAACCACACTTTTTTTTTTTTTTTTTTAAATTTTATTGTGATTTAGGTGAAAGTTTATAGAGCAAATTCATTTTCCATATAGGGAGCAGCTCACATACACTTTGTCTCATGACATTGACTACAATTTCCCACAATGCAACAGCTCCCCTCCCACTTCCTCCCCATAGTTGCCTCTTTCCTGTGTCCTTCCCTCCCATGCAGTCCTACCCCCTGAGCTGTCTCCCTCTGTATACACAGCCCTTCTATTCTCCCATGATTATTCTCTCCAAGGAGTGTATCCACCTAATGGAAATGCTGAACCACACTTTGAGAAACCCTGCCTTACAAGCTTATCTGCAACCTCAACCATGAGAACTTTATCTCCTTCCATACTAGCTGATGATGTTCTTATCCAGCTCAAGGTACATCCTTCCATGCGTGCTCTAAAGTCCACCCCTCCTATCCATCTGAGGAAGTCCTTATGTGGTGCAAATGGTTAATGTGCTCAGCTGCTAACTGAAAGGCTGGTGCTTCCAGTCTACTCAGAGGCACCTTGGAAGAAAGACTTGGGATCTCCTTCCAAAAAATCAGCCATTGAAAACCCTGGAGTGCAGTTCTACTCTGACACACATGAGGTCAGAGGTGGAATCTTGACAGCAAGTGGATTTTCTCTTTCTGAATCCTTTCTTCACCAGTCACCTTCCTCTCTGCCTATCCTCCACCACTTCCTCTCTCCCTGGTTCCTTCCTACCCCCTGTAAATATGCTCATGTATCTTTTACTCTAAGAAATTGAAGATTCTAGGGTGATGGCAGGATCTCTGGTAGTGTAGTGCCTAAGGCACTTGACTGTTAACCAGAAGGCTGGCATTTCAAACCCACAAGCCACTCCTTAGAAGGAAGGTTGGGCAATATACTTCTGTAGTGGTACTGCCTTGGAAACACAAGGAGGGGTCACTATGAGTCAGGTCTGACTTGACGGCACACAACAACAACAACAACAATAGGGTGATGGCAGCTCAAGGCTACATTCAAGATTTGTGATCCCTCCTGACTCTCTACTGGAGTGATTCAAAGAAGGTTGATGTTCCTGGAGGGGATCTTAAACACATGTGAAGCTTAGGGTTCTCAAGAAAAGGGTACAGGTTCTATGAAGCTTTGTTTACAGCAGAGATAGAGGATGGAGGCTCAGGGAAGAACTGAGGAATCAATGACCAGGTGAGCCCAAAGGACTCCTCAATTTATGGCGAGGAAGTACGTGCTGTGAGTGTGTTGCATGTGGTCTTAGGAGACAGAGGGATCTACTGGTCTCATGAATAGTGACTGCTTCCACAGTTGAGTTGAGCTGGTCTTTTCTCTTGTGTGTGGCTGGGAGAGGATGCACTCTCTTGCTCCTACATGGAGAACCTCATACGGGGAGGTCTCTATCCCATGCCTTAGTAGACAAGGCCCGGTTGGGTGGTCTGTTTAGCACTGTAGAAGACTCCCCAGTGTTCTCTGCCTGAGAATGCCACCATTCAGCCTGCCCAGTAGGGAGACTGTACCAGCAACTCAACAAGGGAAAATAACATTCCGGAAATAAAAACAGAATTACAACCATGGCCACCAACTCTAAAAATTCAAGTGAGGAAGTGAAAAAACGTAATGTATATAAACCACATAAAGTTGAATTTGGATCTGGACAATCAAAAGAGGGACTCTTTCCTGATGGAAGTAAAATATGAGGAAGTGGAAACGTCGAGTGAAAAGATAGGGGATGTGGAGAAGAGAGCAAGTGAGCAGTCTGTGTGAAGGATGGTGCCCCAGGAGAAGGAGCACATGGGAAGGAAACAAGAACCAATAACTTACCAGGATGACTTTGTGAGCTGAAGAAAGACTTACGTTTTCAAATGGAATGGACTTAGGGAGTGTCCGAGGGTTAATGAAGGGGGATGACGCACAACTTGAGATTTCCTGGTCAAATTTCCAATATCCAACAATAAAAAGAATTTTATTTCCATTGTCCTTCACAGGAGGTACATGTTAGTACCAAGGAAAGAAAGAAATGGGCTTTGTTCTACACTTCTGCTGAAATGGATGCTGAACAGCAGTGGAACAGTGCTTCAGCTTTTTAACAAAAAGAACTGTGATTTAAGGGATCGCCTCTCTACATTCAAGGATATAGAAAATATGCCACATATATACTTTCCCTGAGAAAATTATGTAGAAAAATACTCCTATCAAATAGGAACTAAGAACAAAGATACCCAGATAGGGGAGATGGAGAGCAGGGGAAAGGGTTGAGCTTTGTTGTTGTTGTTAGGTGCCGTTGAGTCATTTCCGATTCATAGCGACCCCATGCACAGCAGAACAAAACACTGCCTGATCCCGCGCCAGCTCCATGATCCCTGCTATACTTGAGGCCATCATTGTAGCCACCGTGTCAATCCATCTCCTTGAAGGCCTCCCCCTCTTTCGTCGACCCTCCACCCTACCAAGCATGACATCCTTCTCCAGGGAATGGTCCCTTCTGACAGCATGACCAGAGTAGGTGAGACAAAGTCTGGCCATTCTCACTTCCAAGGAGCATTTCGGATGCACTTCCTCCAGGACAGATCTGTTAGTTCTTTTAGCAGTCCATGGTACTTTCAGCATTCTCCGCCAGCACCACAGCTCAAAGGCATCAACTCTTCTTCAGTCTTCCTTATTCATTGTCCAGCTCTCACATGCATACAAGGCAATTGGAACTATCACGGCTTGATATTAACATCAAGGGTTGAGCAGACGTCTTTAAATCTGGGTTACACCTAACTGGATGAGTTTCATGTGATTGTGATGGGCAATTTAATGATGAAGAAAAATCTCTTGAAACAAAGTAGGCGTATTTGCTGTGTTAGTTATCTATTAATGTGTAACAAGTTAACACA